GCGGCAGGCAGAGGTGAGTGATGGAGCTGTCCGACAGGAATGAGAGGAGGCCGGGCCCTCAGTCACAGCAGGACAGACAGATGGGGCATCATGGGAAACATGCCTGAGATCATAAAAGACTCTACAGGACATAATGAGAGACTTTGGGGTGGGGGGAGAAAACTCCCAGGAAGGCATCATTTAACGGCTGTTCAAAAACAACTCCTGGTGAGTGAGTGATTTTCACTTCGCTCGTGATCTCTCTATCTGTTGCTCCTTTTTGTGAGTTCTTGACAGACGTGCACTCGCAAAGACCTTTCAGACTACCGGTAAGTAAAACAGAGTCCTTTTTGTCTTTGATTTGGGTAAATGACATCTTTACGAGGTTGCATCACAGATGGATGGTCCACCACGGCACATCCATCAGCACCAGGGCAAAGGGGGATGGAGTTTCCAGACTCTCCCAGCGTGTCTTGCTCTCTTTCTGTAACACCCCTTTATGAGTCACCTTGTCAAAGTCTCTGAAGCCAGACAACCTTATTTTACTGTATGGACATGTCTTTGTTTTCCATACTCACTGGAGGAGAAGATTTTCAAGGTCTAAGGTGGAAGAAAAAAGATAACACCTTTGAAAGAAAAGCTTCTCAAGGATTCTAAGTCAGCAGAAAAAGAGAGAAAAGAAGCACAAAGTCTGAGGCCTAGAATGTGGCTCACATTGCTTCTTATCTTGAATACACTTTTGGCATTTTCATATTGACGTCCGGCATTTATCAAGATTAACTCCTGCTCTGTGCAGAGAGTCCTGCGGAGAAGCTTAACTTCTCTTCACAGTTCTGATTTCCATCCAGCTGGCCGGCTCTCAACGACAGACCTTTTCAAAGCTCAGCTGAAGAATTCATTGGCACTCTTGATTTCAGGGACAGGGACTCGCTGACACATATTGATGTGATCATTATCAAATTAAACGCACCTCTTCTGATATATTAAAAAGCCATTGGAGTTTGGTAGTGCCCTAACAGGAGCAGAAGCCACAGGGCACTGCTCACCCCCTCCTGAACCCCTATCACTCTCCCTCCCATCTGCCTTTCACATTACTGCTGCTCATGCTGAAGACTGGAAAGGTCATCCATGAAATGCTCGGTGTGGGATTATTCAGCTCGCTGTTCTCTGTCATCTCAAATTGTGAATTTACATTACTCACTCACTGGTCTTCATTGCATCACTGCTGAATATGAGGCTATGCTGTAAATGTTGCACCACAAACAAACTTAGCATTTCTTTTTTGAAATCCAGCGACAGGCACTCAGGCACCAAAACCTTGTGGAGCTTATGAAAGTAACTGAAGTCAGTGTCAGAGTTGTCAGGAGGCCAACTCACCCTGGACCCTGTCTACATTGGCAGTGTAGCAAAACACAGGTTAGCAACAGTATAGCAGCTTGTTTCCTGTAGTTAGCATCTACAAAAGCATTCACCTGAAGCACTTTTGTTTGTCACAGCCCAAGTAGTTACTTGTCACTTGTTATGTGTGTTAGTTAAAAAAAAAAAGATTTGAAGCCTAAAGAGATGCTTAAGGGGTGAATGAAGCACGACGCATGAAGCATTGAGCACAAAGTTCTCAGCATCCTCCATGTGGAAACCTTCACTGCAGTCATCACATCTGCTGGTGTGTGCGCACCATCCATAACATTATTGGTTACACGCTCACATGAATCACACTCTAGTCTGTGAAGGAGTTACTATTGCTCTCCGACACTGTAGTGGACACTCTGGACACAGCTACAGCAAGCACAAGACCAAGCCACTGTAGAGAGAGAAAAGACCACTGAAGCAAAGTGCTGTTAGATGGGTAAATATCATAGATGTATATTAACTACATACCAGACCCCAAGATGGCACCTATTTAGTCTAATGGAATTGCTCACCTGGGGCATATGGCAATAAAAAGATTGTACCTTTCAGGTTTACTTCCAGGGTATGCTGCTCAGTGACAGTGAATATGCACAGTTGTGTTTCTCGCACTGACCCCACCCCACCACAAGACTCCCCCTCTTTCTCCATACTCAAAAAATCACTCAAGACTCACCTGTTCAATGCTGCTTACAATCACTGAAAGAGTCTTGCTTGTCTGTTTTTTTTGTTGTTTTTTTTTTTTGTACGTACCTGAATTTGTAAAGCATCTTTGAGTGGCATGAAAAGCGCTATATAAGTATAATGTATTATTATTATTATTATTATTATTATTATTATAAGTAGTAGTAGTAGTATGTTCTGGCATGTACTAAATTCCTAAATATTGCTTATGTTCACTCGTGTAGTAGCACTTTCAGTTCCGCTATTTATCCAATGCTAGCTAATGTGTAGTGCAAGTGAATAGTGAATGTGGATCCATTTCAAGTGAAACAAATTTGCAAACCAGGTGGTGAGAAACAAGGCAGTGTGGCAAGTGGAGAAAATAAAGGGTGACAATGGACAATATATTGGCTATGTAGCATATCCGGGCCTAGACTTCCTCCACGTACTAGTCATACCAGCTAATCTCTGTCTCTATAAACAGATAGCTGCATAGAAACTAGGAATGCTTTGGGTACCAAAATCTTAAATTGTTGCCTACAGACTCTGCATTCATGCATAAATTCAAGTAACTCTGACTGCAATTTCCAAATCATGCACCCATAATTGCAGGGTTTTGGGGTGTCACAGCAAAACTGTCCTACTACTGACTGTCCTACCAGTATGGCTCCTATGGAAAAAAAAAGTAGTATAGACCACTTCATTCTGGGAAATGTAGCATCCATGGTGTTTGAAGGTTGACCCATACTAGGTACTGAGAATGAGGATTTCTCAGCCCCCTGATGTGTCACAGTTGACCATTCTTTTTAAATTTGTCTCTTTTGAACCCCATAACTAAATGGAAGTATAATTCTAAATCACCAGCCCTTTAAGCTCTTTACTCCATAATATAATAGATTTGGCTTTACTGGAGGCAATAATCCCAGTTTCATCCAAATCAAGCCAGAGGCATTCATGTTTGATAGACATAGCTCTCTCTTTAGTGTCTATCCAGGCCATTTCAGGAGGGTACAAGGGTCAGAGCTGTAAGACTCTAACAACATTCCTGTTACTCCAGAATCAGAAGTGCTAGAGGAACAGATAAGAGAAATGTGAGTGAAGTAGTGAGGTAAGGATGTTTTTTTTTTTTTTTTTTATATCTAGATAACAGCATATTGGATTGAGTAGAGGAGAAGGTACGGGCGAGGTGATATGATTCAGAGGGGACAGGATGATAAAAACCACCAGAGCAGTTTAGGGATTCTGGGCCTCTCACACTGCACACTAGGAAGTTGTTGTCGTGACAGGGATGGTCAGGAACCGTTGAGACATCTCATCTTAGTGATCACAGTGAAATCTCCAGCAGCGCATCACTCAGCTATTGTAGAGTTTTCTCCATAGAGAGTCCAGCAACATTGCATCAAAAATCCTGCAATGTAACCACTGTTACAGCTCATCTGTGAAAATCTGCAGGAACTCACTGCAGCTACAGGGGGTGGGACAAAACTAATCTATCCTGAAGAAGAGTTTCTGAATAAGGTACATTAATCTGTTCTCATGTTTGAGGTTCATGACAGACACAGGGTTCTGCTGGCAAATACATTTAAACAGTTTAAGATAGAATAACAAACAATAATAAATAATAAATTTATTTTTTCACATACGGGATTAGAAAAAAGTAATCCATTAATAGCTTAAATAAATACAAGGTCAAGTTAAAATATGCAAAAGACCCAACCATGAGAAAAATGATCATTACTCATGATAAAGCACAAAATAATTCATTGTATCATAGAAGGGTTTAAATGCTCTCCTATGAAAAGGAACACAGTACAGTTAAAGGAGCTATATGTAAGAAATCTAAAGCAAATAGTCGTAAAATCCTCCTAATATGTCACAGAGACTAAGGAATAATGTTCATATAACATACTGATCTCACCGACAACAATAGTACGGCCAGAATATTTGCATTTAAAAAAAAATTTTACTGTCTGCAAATTATGTTTATGTTTTGAATTTGTGTTTTGGCCTGTTGCGCCACCCACCGCCGTCTACCAGTCACTCAGTCAGTAGAGTCTCAGCATCAGTTACAGTTACAACTGAGCTACAACAGCACGGCAAGCAGCATTAGCAGTGTCCCAGTACATAGCATTAGCAGTCTCCTCAGCTGTATCCCGGCAGCAGCGTTAGCAGCAGAGAAGCCGGGCTTGCTCGACCGGTCCGCTGAAAAACCGAAGATCAAGGACGCGGCGACGTGGCCCTGCCACGGCAGCCGCCCGTGGGTAAACAAATCAGTCTCCAGCGTGCCGTTGTCCTGCAGCCTCGAATCTGTAGGGGAGGGGGGGGGGCGGACACGACTCGCAGCAGTATTTTGAATTTGAGTGCAGTAACCATTTTGGCCACATTCTTACATACAGCGCCTTTAATTTGCATAACAAATAGCACCTGATGGATGACGTTACGTTCTTAACGAAAAGTTACGTAATTAACATTAAATGACAGAGGTTAGATTTAGAACAGGGATACTCAACTTGCTTTGCCTGAGGGCCACTTTCACAAAATGATAGGGGGCTTTTGAACATCGGTCTCCAGGGTAAAGTCCTGTGTTTTGTGACTCCTCCATCACCTCAACCTAACTCCTAACTAGACCGCTCAGGACCGCTTATTTCTTTACTCTCCTTAGTGCAGTGGTCAGCAATCACACCCTTCCAAAATATGTGGGTTATACAAGCGTTACTGGCTCAGGTGTGGATCAGTTTGGATAAATGAACATGAAAATAATTAACAGTTTATTTCAGGTTGTAACGCATTGACATTGTAAATATAATTACATTACCCATAATCCTGTTGGTAATGCATTATATTACTTTGTTACCGCTAAAAATAATATATTATTGTAACGCCTTACTTTTGTAACATGTTACCCCCAGCACTGTACTTTACTACTGTAGCAGCATAGAGGTGCTTATTGTCATTGTTTACAATGTGCGCCGCTGGGGGCCGCTAATGAGGTGGGCCGGTATAAAAGCTGCAGTCCTCCCACTGGTTCTTCCTTTGCGCTCCTATCGTCGCCTCTGCGTCACTTCCGGGTCGGAGGTCGTCTGGTCTGACAGGTATGGCTGCACGCTGCTTCACCTTGCTGGTCGTTTGTTTGCCCACGTGCTTAAGGCATTGGTGTTGTGTTGTAGGGCGACTGTCTGTGTGCTGCTCTGGCCCCCCTGTATGCGCTGCTGCGTTTGTTGGCTGTGGTAAGTGTCCTCTCTCTTTGTAGTATAGTTGATGCTATAAGGTGGCTAATGCTAGTGTGGTCACAGGTAAACGCTGGTGGCTGCATGGAGCCCTCTCTCCCCCTCCCTCCTCTCGTGTGAGTGTGTGTGTGCCCGCGCTGCGGAAAAGGTATGTTATGTGTATTGTAGCACGCACCGCATCATGTTCAGTGTATTTAGCCATGCTAATAGCATTTTTCTTGGTTAGGTGCTAACTGTAGCCAGCTTATCGGGCCGCTGCTGCTTTGTCTCAGCTGCTGCTTTGTCTCCTGTTGTGTCTCCTGCTTGCCTCCATCACATCTGCCGTTTGTCTCTGCTGCTTGTCCTCACGGCACGGTGGCACGCTGCGGCACTGTAAGCCGCTCCGCAGCTCTGCTTCCGCCATAGGCACTGTTGCTCTGTTTCACGTCCGGAGCAGGACGGTTGCTCGTCCGCCCGTCGCGGGCTGAGGCATTATTTTTAACCGGGGTTTGGTCCCCCGCATTTTGAGTGAATGAGTGTGTGAGAGTGTGGGTTATATTCTATTAGCTTGTTTATTTTTATATTGTTTGGGTTGAACCTGATTTTGTTTGTTTGTATAATTTATTTGTTAATTAGGTTAATTTGAGAGATTTTGTATATGTAATTGAATAATTGTTTGGGGTTTGTTTTCTTTATTTAGCCTTAGTTTCTTTTTTGCTTTGTCTATATTTGAGTATTTCAATTGGGCAGTTATTAGTTGTTACATTTTGTTAAGTTTAGACTTGTGATCTGCCCATTAATTACAATTTTTGTTAAATTTTGATTTATTGATTTTGTTTGTTTCATTGCAACCCCACTAATTTGTTTTATCATTCTCCTTTTCAGTTGCTGGAGGCCGGTGGTGGCGGTGCTGGTGTTTGGTGGTGGTATCCATCCTTCCGTCTTGTCCGCTGTGTTCCTGGGAGTGGGTTGCTTCACTGAGTGTGTCTGCCACATGTGCCTGGTGATTTAAGTTGGTTTCTCTTTTTTTTTGGTGGATCCTTCCCCTTCACTAGTCCTTGTCCACTCACTAGGCCTCAGCCCTGATTAGGTTCTTTCCCCCTCCCTGTGTGAACGTTTTTTTTTTTTTAAAGAAAAATGATTGTTCAATAAAAAGTCTATTTTTTTTAAAACTTGGAACCACGTCTCATGCCCCTTTGAGTAAACGAACCTGTGTGTCTTGTATTGAAGAAGTAATTCCCTGGGTGAAATTCCCAGGGTGGCGTTGTCGAGCCCTTTTCTTGGTAACAGTATTGGCTTTATATCCTTTCACCTCCACCTCGCCACACTACCATCAATTGGTCATGTGACCCCAGCCTTCTAAAATACATGAGTTATACACAAATTACTGGCTCATCATTACGTGGGATATGTACAGATTTTGTTGCGTTACTTTAAGCAGGAAAACATATGAACAGTACATAAGAACAGCCTGAACTATGTGAACTAGTTATTTTGAGTTACATCATCACCATGTTTCTTTTCCTAAACCTAACCTATGTGACTTTACTTACTGAAACCTAAAGACCTAATTATGTATTTTTTCAAGATTTAATGGAATTACGCTATTTTCACCATTGACACTATTGTTATGACTGATGTAACAAACACTGACAATTTGTTTCCTATTGTGACATCAGACTGAGAGGCAGCTGAAAGTGGCATGTTTAATGATCATATCAGCCTCCAAAGGCGAAAAAATTGAACTCCTGCATATCACATCTGCATTGATTTATTTTTTAAAAAATGTCTACGGCTCAGTCACAGGGACCTTTCTAGGTAATGTAAGGTAAGCTAATTTATTTTTCAAAGTGTCATGCACCAAAAGGTACTAACCCTGCATGGGCTTACACGACTCTACAAACATATCAAAAACTAGAGCACTAACACAATGAGAGCAAAAGAACAAATATAATACACCTCCTTGCTTGTCAAACAAAATCAAACAATGTCAAAGCAGGTATGAACATAATCCTGCTCCTTAGACATTACTGCTATAAAACCTAACTTAGGCACTTCTGAAGCTCAGACTGTGCCTTTAACACATCAAATATAAGGCGCCCTCCTGCGCTGTTGGTAGGCATTTAACACAAACTGAGCCAGGTGAAACACTTTGTCTGTGAACAGGTACTGGAGCCTGCAATCATCAGACACAGAAGACAAATCAGGACATTCTGCAGATATTTTTAGAAAAAGCCTAAATCTCAGATTGGGATATAATGGCACGCTGTTCTAATGCACTTGAATAGCATGTGCCAACTTTTGCTCATACATGAACCTACAAAAAGTGATGTGCCACATAATCACAAACCAGTAATTTGTGTATAACCCACATTATCGGAAAGACTGTGACAACATGAACGATGCACTGACAGGAATGAAAAAGGAAGAGGCATAAAGGCCGGAAATCTGTGTAAGGAGGCAGGTTGGGGTGGTAGCAGGGGTCAAACAAACACAGGACTTTTCCCCAGGAGACTGGTGTTTGGGACCGTGTGAAACCAAGCAATGTGTCCTCCTACAATGGTTTGTATGATATCCTTTGAATTAGAGGCCTGGTAATGACATTACGTCCTTGAAGAGTAATGTTATTAACATAGAGTTATGGAGGTTAGGTTTAAGCAAGTATTTAGGTTTAGGAAAAGAGACATGATGAGGACATACCTTAAAATGACTCGAAGTTCACACAGTTCCGAACAAGTCCTGGGGGAAAGTCCTGTTTTATGATCCATCCACTGCCCCACCTCGCCTCCTAACTGGACCACTCAGGACCGCTTCCTTCTTTACTCTCATCAGTGCATTGGTCATGTGATTCCAGCCTTCCAAAATACGTAGATGATACACAAATTACTGGCTCATCATTACATGGGTTATGTATATTTTGGTGAATGATTTTTTTGTGGGAAAATGTACGAACAGTGCATGAGAACACCCTGAACCAAGTCTAAGGTACATCATCACCGGGTTTCTTTTCCAAAACCTAACTTTCATTACTTCAATTACTGAAACATAAAGACGCCCAACCACATTTCTTTTCAAAGGTCCTGAACAGTTGACAAAAAAACCAACCACTCTTCCGGGAACTATCTCGACAGGAAGTGCAACAAAGTCATAGTTTAAGAACTGCTTTTCATGGCACTCTCCACATCTCCAGTGAAAAAAAACAGCTACGGGTTGCGAGAAAAACCACTCATGTTTAGTGGCTTAAATGCTGTTGGGAAGTTTAGTGGTTTGTTGGTTTCAAACATAGACTGTACATGTATATAAAGATGGACGACATGACAGCTCCCCAAAAGTGAAGCCAGAACATCTCGATTGCCCCCTGGTGACTGGCAGCAGTACAGGTCATAAAGCCCACCCCCTCCATGTTAATGGATGGGACATTGGCCAAGTACGCATCACATAACGTTTTTTCTTCCCAAAGACGGTTTCTGTCATTTAAGGTAGCTATACTTTTTTCTGTTTAGTTTTAAATAGTTATTTAATGCTATAAAACAGGGATTTTGCAACATGATTGACAACCGTGTGAACCATTCTGTGGGCTTGGATTTAGTGACACTGCTCGCGAGTGGTTGGAAGGGTGTATGGGTGGGAAACTTGAGATTGCAATGGTGTAGACTGTGGTCCCGAATGACCACCACAACAAGATGGCAGTGGAGAGATGTCATCCATCTTTATATACAGTCTATAGTCTTGAACAGTGGTCTGCACCTTGGAAGGCGTCTTGCCTTGGTGTCATGCCATCCAACATCCCCTCCTGCTCCCAAATTAAATAAAGTCAGCTCATATACTATGCCACTTAAGAAATGTTGAAATGCACAAATCTAACATATTCATGGTTTGTCAAGAAACATTTCTTGACTGAACTATATAGAGGCAAGTGCACTAACTTCTTGTTTTTGTCCTCAATGAAATGTTATCTCAGAAGGTTCTTTATACACTTCAACAAAATTTTTTGTATCTACCAAAAACTGTATTTGAAAATTAGAAAACACAATGATCAGGATCATCCTTTATAGTATGTCTGACTACTTTTAAATATGTGTTCTGTTTTCTAAAACTTCAACAGTAGGCTATTTATCATTGTGTACAGTCAGGCAAAGACAGAAAGGGACTTCCCATGTGAAACCACACAGTATCTCCTGCCAGAGTAATTACAGCCAAAGTGGGCACTCTTCCTCCAAGTGCAATGCATTAGCTCTCCAATAAATGATTTATAAATATGCAACCCACTCGCCCCTGTGATTACAGCACAATGAAGAAAAAAACGTGAAAGTGGAGATAGAGAAGCACACCTCTCCAGCTTTTCCCTCTGTGTTTTTTCTGCCAAATGGAGTAAGATGGACATGTTTAGCTCTCTGTCTTGACAGGTGGGATACAGGCTGAACTCAGGCCTGTAAATGTACAAGGGAAGGCTGTACTGCAGGGATTTCTGCGATGATGGAGTAAGTGGCTTCTCTTGGCGCTAAAGCATACAGATCAGCTGTCCCTTAGACAATACTCCCAGCTCTTGAGCAAGAAAAGTTTTTTTTTTCACCCTCCCACCATCCTCTACAGATAGAAGCTGATAAAAATAGCTCCATTCATTCTAATAGAAGGGTTTTTCCTCTAACAACAGGACCATTTTCTGCCAGGAGAATAATGCATTTCCTCTGTGTATTATTCCCAGTATCTAAATGGACATAAATGACTTTCAACAAAGCACATTTTTGTTTTAAACTTTAAATCATCCATTTAGTTTGCTGAACACAGTACAGCTGCAAATTGAATACAGCACATTTCTTGATGATGGAAGCTTAAGGAAGAATGAATTGTTTTGTTGTTCATTTATCTGCCTGAATATTCAGTTATTCGCTGCACACAAAGGCAGAATATATAATGTAATAGAACCCACTTGTACAAGAAATCCATCTTCATGATGAAATTAGATGAAATAAAAGATCTGAAAAACATAATGTTTTATACAGAACAATTGACAGGGCTCTTACTGTTTTGGGTGAATATAACCCATTTGGTTTCAGGTATGCTTGTGTCAGAGCAATGAACGAAGAAAAGCAAAATCTGCTCTGACAATCTGCATGAATAAAAGGTAATTGGGTGTCTAAAAGCTGTTTCAATTTATTTGGATTTGAATTAAAAAAAATGCACCAAAATGTCAATTTTGTACCAGGTATCAAATACAGTAGACAGACTGGTCATGCTCCCAAGGAGAATTTATTGGCCCAGTGGCTGTTCCTCTATCATCATCCTCAGGACAGACATTACATTTTTAGCCACTTTATGGGCAAACCTGTAAAAACAGAACTGTAAGTGACAGTCAGTTTTT